CAGTTCAGCAAGCCACGCAAGCTGGTCAACACCATCAACCCGGTGAGCGTCCGCGCAGGACAGCAGGGCAGCAAGGAGAAACCCGGGCCTGAAACACTGCTGGGAATGTGCCAGCTTGGCCCATGTGCCTGTGAGCTGAGGGAGGGCTCTCCTAGGGGAGGATGGGCCAGCCCACTTCCTGTCTCCCAAGCCGTGTGTGGCATTTTTGGCTCAGGGCCACTGAGTCCTGGGTGGCCTCTGGGAATTGGGCTCAGGGCTGCTGTGCCACATGCAGCAGCCTGGGGCCTGGGACCTGGGACGCCGGGAGTTGGAAGCTTTTCAAGCCCGGGGTTCCCTGGTGGTGAGGGAATATGAAGCTTCCTGAGCCGAGGCCCAAGGGTCAGCATCAGCCCAGGTCTGCCGAGGAGGGCAGGCGAGACCCAGAGGCCGTGAGACAACAGCTCTCTCCTGTCTCCAGGGAGAGCCCCTGGCACAGTGTCAACACCCCACAGCTGCATACCTGCTGCCTCCCAGGCCTCCCAGGCCACTGGCCCATGGGAAGTTGTTCCTTCTGTTGAGATGACAAATTCCTCACCTATCTAAACCTTCGCAGGGAGCCCGCTTCATGACCACAGCCATGTATGATGCCCGGGAGGCCATCATCCCAGGCTCCGTCTATGATCGGAGCAGCCAGGGTGAGTTGCTCGGCAGGAGACCGGCCGGCCCCTTGTCCTCACACCAGGATGCTGGCTGTTCCCATGGCTGAAGCTTTAGGTGCCCCACCTTTCCTTCCTCTCAAGGGCGGGGCCTGGCTCCCTTGTCCTCCCCGCCCCCAGGGCATCTCTAGCCCCACAGCACCCCTGGGGCGTTTGTCTTTAGCCAGAGTTTATTTGTGTTTCCTGGTGATCAATCTAGTTAGCTTTTTCTTGACTTTTGGTAGGGCAGGGACTGCATGTAGTACAAATAGAACATTTTCATAAAAAGGATTTTTTTTTCCTTTGATAAATTCAGGGTGATTTTCATTTATTTTTTATGTTTAGAGACAGGGTCTCGCTATGTTGTCCAGGCTGGTCTCCAACTCCTGCCTCAAGCATTCCTCCCGCTCAGCCTCCCAAAATGCTGGGATTACAGGCGAGAGTCACTGCACGTGGCCAGTTTGCATGGGGGGTTTTTTTTGTTTTGTTTGTTTTGGGTTTTTTTGAGACAGTCTTGCTCTGTCGCCCAAGCTGGAGTACAGTGGTGCGATCTTGGCTCACTGCAACCTCCGCCTCCCGGATTCAAGCGATTCTCCTGCCTTGGCCTCCCAGGTAGCTGGGATTACAAGCACCCACCACCACGCCCAGCTAATTTTTGTGTTTTTAGCCATGTTGGCCTGGCTGGTCTCAAACTCCTGATCTCAGGTGGTCCACCCACCTCGGCTTCCCAAAGTGCTGGGATTACAGGCTTGAGCCAACATGCCCGGCCCTGATTTTCAGATCTGTGTAGGCCAGTGATTCCCAGCAGGCTCTTCTGGGGGGAAGGTGCCTGCCCTAGCACCCAGCCCCAGGCTGGCTGCTGTAGTCAACATGGAGTCCGGCGAATCTGCATCTTCAGCCTGGGCAGAGCCAGGACAGATGTGCAGCTCCGACTGACTGGCTGGTAGGGTGGGTGGGGCATCGCCGGGGTTTGACCGAGGCAGATGACACCTGCTGTGTTCCACTGTGATTTGCAGGCCGGCCCTCCAGCATGTACTTCCAGACCCATGACCAGATTGGCATGATCAGTGCCGGCCCCAGCCACGTGGCTGCCATGAACATTCCCATCCCCTTCAACCTGGTCATGCCGCCCATGCCACCGCCTGGCTATTTTGGACAAGCCAATGGGCCCGCTGCAGGTAAGCATCCATGGCTGTGGCTGGGTGTGGCCCTCCTGAGAGCTCTCGAGGGTGTGCTTGTTTGCGAGGCCCTGGCCTCCTTGGGATCACCCTGGACTGCTGTCTTTCAGGCCGAGGCACCCCGAAAGGCAAGACTGGCCGTGGGGGACGCCAGAAGAACCGCTTTGGGCTTCCTGGGCCCAGCCAGACCAACCTCCCCAACAGCCAAGCCAGCCAGGATGTGGCGTCACAGCCCTTCTCTCAGGGCGCCCTGACGCAGGGCTACATCTCCATGAGCCAGCCCTCCCAGATGAGCCAGCCCGGCCTCTCCCAGCCGGAGCTGTCCCAGGTGAGCCCGCCCCACGCACAGAGCCCTCTTGCGGCCCTGGGACAGGACTTGCTTGAGTGAGAGTGGGGCTGTGCACCTGGAACATGCCCTCTGAAGAGCCCGAGAGCTGGCCTGGCCCATGTCCACTGTCCAAATTACCTGTCCCTGGGCTAGGGTCATCAGAGTGGATCTCCTGGGTCTTAATTTGGGGACGGATTTTCCATTCTCCTCTCTGGGCTGCTGAGGGCTGGGTGGATGTGAGCACCCTTGGCCTGTGGCTTGCTTACCTCCTGACATTGTCTTTCAGGACAGTTACCTTGGTGATGAGTTTAAATCACAAATCGACGTGGCGCTCTCGCAGGACTCCACGTACCAGGGAGAGAGGGCGTACCAGCATGGCGGGGTGACGGGGCTGTCCCAGTACTAAAAGGCAAGCCCCCTGGAGCAGGCCTGGCCCTATCCCAGCCTCCAGGGAGCTGCTGGGGAGGGGTGGTATCTGGAAATGCATGCTGTCCCCAGTGGGGTCACAGGCCCGCAGGGTCAGCTTGGCCTGTGCCCTTCACCACCCGTCAGGGTGGCTCCATGTGTTGCCCAGTCACAGCCCCACTTTCCCCTTGAAAGAATTCTAGGGCTCCCCACGGAAAGGGATGTGGAGGCACCCCACCCTACGCTACCCGGGAGCCCTCTGCTCGCGGGACCTGTTTCCTCATCAGAGTGGGGGAGAGCAGCTCGAGCTCTCCCTTGCTGTCCCGTGCGCTGGGTACCTGTGGGGCTCTGCGCGCCGCCTCTCACCGCCTCCTGCCCTTCTCCCTCCTGACAGGTGGCGGCGGAAGAGCTAAGCAACGTGGCTTAGTCCATCAGCATCTTATTCTGGGTAATAAAAAATAAAAATAAACGGATACCTGTTTTCCACTGCTAAAACTGAAGCACCACTGTGTGAGCGACAGGAAGGGAGAGCGCACGAGGGAGAGGAGCCGAGGCCGAGCGCCCCCTGCTGGCCCGCGGCGGCGAGGAGCAGAGGGAGCGGAGGAGGGGCCGGCCCGCGGGAGCCGCCGCCACCAGGAGGCCCCGCTCCGTCCCACCGGGGCTGCGGCCAGGGCGGAGGGAGGAAGACCCTCATCTCAGAGTAGCCCTTTCCTCTGTTCTTTTATTTCTTTTTCTCTTTGATTGAAAGGGGACTACGTCTTAGCAGGAAAAAACTTCGCATTTCTGTGCCCGAGCAGGCTCCTTGCAAAGACGGCGGCGCGCGGGGCACAACCCCGGGAGGGCACATCTGTCCACGCCTACCAGAGGCGCCGAGGTCGCGCTGCCTGTGTTCTCCGAGGGCCTTCATTTAAAGAAAATAAGGGTGTTTGGGGTTTTTCTGTTTGTTTTTTCAAGATTCTTTTAAAGGAGTACTGAAGAATACTTTCCTAAGTTTGTCTCTAAAATCTTAGCGGTGGACCTGGGAGATGTGAGAAGCTTCCAGAAACAGTTTGAACAAGCCAGCACCACTGGAGAAGAGGAGCAACACCTGTGCCGCGGCCTGGAGGAGGATTTTTGTTGCTGGTTTTAGCTTCCGGTGGCTTCTTGCTGCGGGGCATCGGGCCTCTGGGGTAGCCGCCCACTGAGCCTGGAAGCTACTCGTTCTCCACTGGACTCAGAAGCCAAGCCGCTTTCCGCCCGGACTCGGCGCAGGGCCTTGCACCTGTGAGGAAGGTGCTTTTGGCCCCATTGCGAGGGGCCTTGGCTAGGACTGGCCCTGTGGCCAGGGGGCGAGAAGGTGGCTGTGCCCGGATCAACGGCTTTTTCCCGGGGGCCTTTGGAAGATTTGGTGGAAGGACAAGAGGGCCTGTCCCTGTCCCCAGGAGGCACCGACAGTCCCTGTACTGGTTAGACACACGGAGCGCTGCACACCGAAAGCCCAAATTGGGAGCTCTGCCTGCCAGCAGTTTTGCTGAGGGGGTGATCGCTGCTTCTGGGGGGTAAGGAAACAAGTTACAGAAATTACTGCGTTCTGTGTGAAGGGGCTGGGGGGTGTGGTGTCGTTGGCAGAGGGTCATTTTAGGAGAGCTGCCTCAGCCCCTCGAACCCCTGGCTTGGGGTGTCATTCCGCCTGGCGGCCAGGCCTCCAGCCTGCCCTGGCCCGGGCCTGGGGCTGTCACTTGCCCTGAGCTGAACACTTCCAGATTCCAGCTTCTACATGGGACAGACGGGGACGCACAGGCCACCTTCCTTCTGGCAGGGACTCTTATTTATTCCCATTGCTCTAGGGCTTTCGGTTTCCCCTTCTTCCGGTAGGCCGCGTAGAGGCATGCACCACGCACCGGGTAGGCTTCTGCGGTGACCCCGCGGCGGCCTGAGGGACGCTGCCTGCCCCATCCCGGCTGTTGGGCTGGGCCGCTTTGCCTCTGCTTCGCCCTGTGCTGTGTTCTCCAGCTTTGTAGCAGCGGCCTTGACAAACCCAGGCGCACCGTACCAAGGCAATGTAACTTCTGATTTTCGGTCAATTTAAGTTCTTTTGTCACCAATAAAATATTAAACAGTTTTGCCTTCACACCAAGGATTGGATAAACTGCAGGGGGCGGAGGGTGTTGGGGGCGGGGGTTCCCTGGCCGAGTGAGGGGTTGGGGTGTGAAGGACGCCAGAGGGAGACAGGCAAAGCCCAGAAAGGGCAGGTCTGCCTTGCAGGACTGAGGAAGGGCGACCCCTGCCCCTGGGCCCCTCCCGTGGGCAGCACCTGGGCCTGTCCCGGGGGTGGTGGGTTAGGCCTCGGGTAAGTGACCTGGAAGTGGAAAGGCCTTGCCGAGGGGCGCTCTCCCCAACCCCAGGCAAAGGAGTCCAAGGAGACCAGCAGAGCAGACCACGCGACGTTTATTGTTGGGCCCGCGTCCTCGCCCGCCCCGCGTTAGCGGCAGCCGCACTCGTCCACCACCATGTCCTCATACTGCCGCAGCACCACGTTGTCACTGTTGTCAAAGAAGAGCACGGAGATGGGCGACAGGCGCGCGGGCACGCAGCAAGGCAAGTCGGCGGCTCCCGGGGCGGTTGCGTGCAT